GTGTTTTGTTGAATTCGTGATATAATAGGTACGTTTAGAGTTGTAGTTAAAACTTTTCTTGTAAATTTTAGGATAATAATGTTGGATGTACGGGTACGGATATTACCCATGGGTACCCGAAACCCACGGGTATGAGGATGGGTTTGCCACATATTCCCCCGCATGAGTATGGGGCGGGTATGAGTTTGGATATTTGAAGATGGGGATGGGGATGATTTTGACAAACCCGCCCCAAACCCGCCCCATTGCCATCCCTAGTTAGGTACCATAATTGCCTGCGTTTGGGCTTTTTGCATGGTATTTCATCTTTTGATCTTCACATAAATAAATTGGTCTTCACAAAAAAAGAACTTCTAAAAATGTGTTCTCAAGCGAATGATTAAAACAGTAGTTAGAAAATTGATTACTTTATTTACTGATTCTATGCCTCGAAAAATATTCTGCATGAAAAATCATATAATTGACAAAACAGTGCTCCAGCTCTATCTCCAAACATCCCATGTAAAAAAGAGTTAGGATTTTGATGCAAAACCTCCTTTAGTTACTGTTTGGACGAATATCAATAGCTATAGTTAAGAGTTTTTCAATTTCTTGCAAATTCAACAAACTATATCTCATTCATTTTAACTCTGCTTTATAAAACAAAGATTTATAAAAATCATATGAATTGAAATGTGCCAAAGAAATGTTGAAGAATACTAAGATGAGATATTTTATAAGAATCGTACAGCAACCTCAAAGACAATAGTAGTTCGGTAATAATCTGCCTATATTGTTCTATTGTTTTTAACTCCAACTTTATTCATTCGAGAAGATAATCGTACCCACTAAAATATAAAGTTTTCAACCAAATAGTGTATCTTAACTAATATTATTATATAGATTTAGGATTCAGCTCCGAGTTGTAGACAACATTGTTTAATCTAACTTTATAGATTTGTATCTATGTTTTGTGAAACGTCTATTGAGAAACTACTCAAAGATAGTGACAAAATGAGTGAACCATCACCTCCTTATCCCCTACAACTTGAGAGAATGAGTTAAATTTTCAGATCAAACTCATGCATTACAACATTGCGAACCCAATAAGCGGGTCACATTTTTTAAGATAATGAAAGGTGAAGAAGAGCAATATCAGACAAATATTTTGCCATTAAATATTTGCATTCGGTGAAATGTAGGAGAAGAAGAAAGATTATGCTAATTGTGGAGTTAGTGAATTCAGTGATGGAGATGCTAACGTTATTGAGATAAAGAAGAGATTATTGATGGTTTATATATACATTTCAATGATAATAAAGGTTTCTTTAATAAAGATGAAGTTGTGTGGAGAAAATGCTTTTGATGGCAAAGCAATCGCAAAGACACCCAAAATGAAATTTGTGGTAATTTTTAATAGCGAAGAGTAAACCATGCATTTTGAATATTCAATGTTTTATGAATTGTTCCCTACGTTGTGTTTTTTACTTTTGATAAAGACTTTTGTCCATTAATGATCAAGATATCCGTAAAAAATATGATGTATGTTGCTTTCTGATTTTTTTTTTTTTTGTAATTTAATAATTTGAGTTGTTTCATGATAGCAAATGAAAATGTAAATTGGTTCATAAAATTACCATTATTGTTTATATCATTGATGTAATTCATCCGGCCAACGGGCGGGCCCAAATCTAGTAATTTTGATGTTGTGCTTTCGTGATTGAGCAAAAAATGCTCTAAATTTGAGACTTGTGTTTAATTTGCTCCTCTAAAAATGGGGATATACATGTCAAAATTATATTTTCTCTATCTCTTAGCGAGAGTGTCGGCCGTCGGGTGGGAGGTTTTTCGTCAAGGATTTCGTCGAATATTGGATTTTCTTGAGGTATTAGGGTTTCCTTGAGATATAAATATTCTCAAACCCTTCTATGAGCTCAGTGATTCTTAATCAACGTCATGTGATTAAGGAAAATTGTTTTCTTCATTCGAGTGGGAATTTTCCAAAGATAAGTTATTCCATCACTTGGTTCTCGTCTTGGCTGAAGCCCTAATTCGCCTCTTGTGATTAGGATCAGGAAGCAATTTTTTCCTTTTCTTTGCCATACATCTTTCTCCTACTAAAACCTAAAGACAAAGTACAGGAACAAAAACGACTTCACTTCGGACGATCTCTACAAATACAACAAACTTTGTGGAGCAACGTGCGACACAAGGCAAAGTCAACATGGAAGAAACAAAGACGGTACCAGTGGCGGACCTAGGATTGTTGGAGAGGTGTGTCGCCGCTAATATAGAATAATAATTAAATAAAAAAATTAAGTAGAAATTAAAAGAAATTAATTTATGAAGTTCACAATGTCATTTTACAACGAATCACGACGACTTTTCATATGCTTAAATGTCTCTAAAATACATTCATCACTTATGCTGCAAAGCAAATGTTTTTCAATATACACAACTTAACAATCATTTATAAACAATAATATTATACTCTAACCCCCAATGTGTGAACCGCAATCCCCAATTCACTAACCTAACATAAGATTCATTTAATCTTGAAAAATGAAAATCAATGATTCTGATTCGTCGAAATGATTGTTGAGTTTCATTTTAAGATTGACCAAATTTTGCAGTTTGGGTTAGAAAATTAGGGATTGGGGTTCACCCATTAGAGGTTAGGATATAGGATCATGCCTCAAAGTCCGGTTAATTATTTATCTAAATAGCAAAACCCAATTGGCGTACGGTGGTCGGACGTACGCTAGCCTGAACTTATATTTATATATGTTGATAACTTATGACAATAAATTTCCATAAACACAATGGAGTTGTGTCGGATACAATGATCAGAGGTGTGTCGGAAATCCCGAGATCAAAATTTTAGTACCGATGAATTAGGGGTATTTCACAAAATTTTCGGGCGGAGGTGTGTCAGATGACACACCTCCCTTGTGCCTAGGTCCGCACCTGGACGGTACCAATCACAGAGATTGGTAATTACCGTGCAAGTAGTGGCTATGGGAGAATCCCTTGAAGTGAATAAGGAAGTGGGAGATCCATGGCTTACACAACTTGTGAGCTTTAGTAGCTTCTCTATCTTCTTCGAGATTCCCAGATTCCTCATCAATTGCCAGCAACCCTCTACTGTGATAATCAACCCGTCATATATATTGCATAAAATCCCACATTCCACGAACGGAGGAAGCACATCGAGTTGGATTGCCACTTCGTCCGCGAAAAGCTGCTCAATCGTATGATCAATGTGCTTCATGTTTCCTCCTCCCACCAGCTGTCTGATCTCTTCACCAAAGCTCTACCACCAACTCCCTTCTCCTTCCTTCTCTCTCGATGGCCTCAATGTATGCCCGCCAGCTTGAGGGGGGGGGGGGGGGGGGGGGTATCAGGGAAACACGAAGGTTTTTCGCGCTTACCTCCATTTGAATCTCCAACAGCTCTAAATAGAGACGTTGCATCGGCATGGAAGAAGAAGCAGAGCTTGTGCGACGCCGTTCCATCATAATCCATAAAGACGAAGCAGTGCGGCGTCGTTCCATCGTTCGCTGAAAAAAAGAAGCAACGCACATGAAGTGATGTTGTTTCTGGCAAATTGCCATGTAGTCCACAATTTGTTTAAATCTGTCTTTTTTCCTTTTTTGGCCAGTACTTTCTTTTCTTCCAAGGTTTATCTTCTTCCTTGTTTTGTAAGGTTCAGCAACCCTCTTGTAACACTTTGGCCAGCTATATGAGCTGTGAGATGAAATGAGAACACGGTAGGCGATTAGGGTTTGCTCGATCCATTGTGTTGTTAGATTTAGGACATGAAACCCCGTCAAAGTGCTTGAACATGTCATTTTACCCTTTTTCCCAATATAACAGGGGCAGCTCCAATCCAGACGGTCGACCTAATCGAACGGGTTCAAACAGAAAGTCCACTTGAAATCAAGTGTCGAGTGAAATCTCATATTGAGAGTATTAATGGAATTAGTGATGGCAATTTGAACCCGCCTCATGGGTATTACTCGATCTGACTAGCAATGGGGCAGGTATTATCCGACCCGCTATAGCGTGAGGCTAGGTATGGGTATCTACTTTCGACCCGTCTTGCTCCACCCTGCCCCATTCTTGGCCCATTCTACCTCAATTTCGTACAATATCTATACATATTTATCTTATTTTTACTTTTCTTCAACTAGTTAGAGTTTATCTTTCAACTGGTTAGACTCAATTACCAATTATATTATCATTATTTTTCATTCATAAAGTGTTTTCCCCTTCGTTTTATCGTAAAATTTGTGTGTTTTTTTTTTAAATAACACGTAAGAGTGAGTCGACCCGCCCCGCCCTGCTCCTGCGCGGGTTTTACCTGCCCCAACCCATAATAGCGTGAAGCGGGGCATGGGTATTGAGGTACTCGTCCCGCCCCGCCCAATTGCCATCACTAAATGGGAATGCGTGGAATGTGATTATGTTGGAATGCCAATTTTTTAAAAGATGATAGGGCATGTAACTCACACATTAATTAACAAAGGAGGGATGTGTAACTGTCCTCCCACCAATCATCCAACCAAACGGAGCCCTAGACCCAATCGAAGCTGCAGCACGCAACGTCACCCAATTTATTTTCTTATTTCTATCTTTTGGACGACTCTATCCTACTCTACATGTGGGCTGTGGGCTGTATCAATCTTCCCTCACAATTTCAACGTCTTTCCATCCTCCCTCTTCCCCTGGCTGCATTTATCACACTCCCCTCCTCCCTTCCCTTGGACCGTCCTTAAAATACAAAATTATTATTATTATTATTATTTATCAAAGCTCTCCTTCCCGTATGGCGTATACACAATACGTAATTTGGCGTCATCCGCACTGAATCCCCATTCTGGCCCTCATCCCTTTATCTCCTTCCCTGCCCTGTCTCCCTCTCTCTATATATACACTATTACCAATGTGCTGAGCTTCTTCATATATACATATCGATTGGCAGTTTAGTTAGAGATATACGCCGGCGGTAACAAAAAAAGATGGCGGTAGTAAAAGATCCCCAAAAGTCGTGGGGCTGCCCGAGCTTCCACTACTGGTCGTGTTTCTGCACCAGAGGGCCGGCGGCTGATCACCAACCTGGCCCTGCCCACCAGCAGTCGTACTGTCCAACCCCACAATCGGAGAAGCTGCAGGACGGGAGCTTGATGATTGTTCCGTCGCCGGCGGCGGGGACCCCCAAGCTGCCGGAAGGTGAGATCGGCGGCCAGAGGCAGCCCGGCGGATGGAGAGCCATGCCTTACGTTTTAGGTACATATAATACAACACCTAATCACCCCACTTTTGATTTTTTTCCGTCTTGAAAGTGCTATAATTGTTTGTTTAAGTTACGTTTACGTACGTACCTCGACCACAACTTGCCGTCGGCCGGTCCCGCTCGACGGCTCGATTCCTTTTGCTTTTCATTCTGACGCCGGAGCTGGCTAGCTGCGGCCGGTCTTTGGGGGAGTTTGACGATCCGTTACGATGACTCGTCATCCACGACATCCACGTGATTGTGGGGAATACTTTTTTTTTTTTTTGGACGAAATTGTGGCGAATACGATGACGAGGTTCTTGTTTTTTTTTATCGTGAAACCTGTTTTTTTTTTATAAAGTAAACAAAATATGAAAGTCGGTTATAGCTCAAAAGGGTTAAAACTCGTATCGATATTTGGTTTGAAGTTATAATTGTACGTTTATATTTATGTATATGAAAATTGATAAATTTTCGTCCAGAATTCGAGTTCGAATACACAATTTATCTAAATTTTCTTTTAATTCTAACCCATTTTCCCTTCGAGTTATGTCTTCGCGGTGGAAATCATTAAGTTAGTTATGAAAATCATGAATTTATGTCCGAGGGTAAGTTGCAATCATCATTTTTCTTTTTCTTTTTCTTTTTTTCCTCTTGAAAAAGCGAGGGAGTAGAGCAAATTATATGACATAAGTGCTTACCATTATTCATTATGTTGAGTGATTGAGTTTATATTATATCGTCACCCCCTGATTTTTACATGTCAGCAGCTGATCATGATCATGAGACGACTATTTCTTTTGTTCGTTGGTTTGGTATGTGAATCAGGAAACGAGACGTGCGAGAGATTGGCGACGGTAGGACTGTTCTCCAACTTCATGGTGTACCTGACGAGAGAATTCCACATGGAGCAGGCGAGAGCCGCCCAGCTCCTCAACGTCTGGTCCGGCTTCACCAACTTCTTGCCGCTCATCGGCGCCTTCATCTGCGACGCTTACGTCGGCCGCTTCAAAACCATTGCCTTCTCCGTTTTCGCGGAACTTCTGGTACGTATCGAAAACACGCGCTTTAACAGTTACGCTTAAAGGGCATCCCAACTTTTAAACTTAATTTGATTTTTCGTTATGACGATAACCACAATTTCCTCCCCGATGAGCAGTAATGCCATGTGTTGGTTTCATTTACGGTTTAACCTACCTAACACAGGCTAACACATTGTTGTTGTGATGGTGGCATTCAATTCCTTTTGCATTATTATTGCTTAAGCATTTATTGCTTCGTCCCTGTAGAAGGGAACACGAGTAAAATAAGATTAGAAGTTGTACTTTGTTCACGGAGATTAGAGGTTTTGTCAATGAGTTAAGTACGGAGAAGGATATGTCTAACCCGAGCTGATCACATGGTTATAATTAACACCTAATTGCTGGTTATACTACACATGCGTGGTTTAATTTAATTGCAAACTAAAACTTAGTTGAATAAGGCTAACGAAGTCTATCTTTCGGGCCAGTTAAAACAAGTTGTGTGCAAATGGGAAGAAATGGAACGTGCATGGTTGCGTCCTTTGACCTTTAGGGAAATAATTTCCTTACTCGGGAAACCATCCCAAAACATCGCCGAGGCTCTTGTTTTTCCAGAAATAAAAAAATTTATAACTTTCGTTTGTAATTATGCTAACTCATGATTAAGTTGTTAACATAATGTAAAGTTTTTTCCTTAAATATATCAATGTTAACATAAACTTCTATTAAAATATTCTCACAAAAAAATAAAAACTCTATTAAAATATTGTGTGGAGAAGTGATGGCAAATGGTCAAGAATGAAGATCTGAAAGACAGACTTAATTATTGATCGTCATGTAAGATGTGAAAATACCAAAATAGTGAAATGAGAATGCATATGCGAAGCATGTTCGCTCAAAGTCAAGTAATCTCGACACGTGTACTTAAAATACAAATCACACACTATCATCACATCACTACTTTTCTCGTCAACTACAAAACCAATTCGATCACTATTATTTTTTTTTTCATTTGTGGTTACTAACATATCGACATTATTTTCACATATAAAGACGAACTGCAGCTTCCACTCTTTCACTCAACTGTCCACATACAACTTACGATTTAAAACACATCTCACATAGTCAAAACAATCTCGATACAAATACTTAAAATATCAACCACACACTATCATCACATCGATTGATTTTTTCTCGGTTTGAATTCGAGTGGGTTTTGTTGGAAGGAGAAGGTGGTGTCCTATTTTCACTTTTATTTCGTTGAATAGTTTTTCTTTTTTTTGATTTGTGGTTACTAAAACATCACTCATTGTTTTCACATATAAAGACGAACAGCTTCCACTCTTTCAGTCGCCTGTCCAATAGTCCACTTACGGTTTGGATGGTAGCCATTGCTAGCCACAGCCAATTGTCTTCTGCTACTTGGAAAACGATAAATACTTTCTCGAAAAGTCTAAAGCCTATATAACTCGGTGAAAAGCATCCACCAGTCCACCATGAGAAAAAAAAAAAAGATTCCCTCAGACAAAAACCACAGCACCACGCGACGTCGTACTCAATCTCACTTACGCAAGCCGATCACTAATTACCTTTTTTTTTTATCCTGTGGCAGGGGATGGTGACAATAACACTGACAGCGTGGCTCCCGCACCTCCGCCCGCCCGAATGCGACGCGGCCACGTCGGCCTGTGCGGGGCCCACCTCGACGCAGCTGGGCGTCCTGCTGGCGGGCCTGTGCCTGATGTCCGTCGGCACCGGCGGGATCCGGCCGTGCAGCATCCCGTTCGGCGTGGACCAGTTCGACGCGAGGACGGAAGGAGGGGTGAAAGGGATCAACAGCTTCTTCAACTGGTACTACACCACCTTCACCGTCGTCATCCTCGTCTCGTTGACGGTGATCGTTTACATCCAGGACTCCGTCAGCTGGGCGCTAGGGTTCGGGATCCCGACGGCGTTCATGTTCGGCTCCATCTTCCTGTTCTTCATGGGGACAAGGATCTACGTCCACGTCATGCCCGAAGGGAGCGTCTTCTCCGGGATCGCCCACGTCTGCTCCGCTGCGTACAAGAAGCGCAGGCTTAAGGTTCCGTCGAATCCCGACGGTGGGCGGTTCTATGACCCGCCGGCGAAGCCTTTCGTGATACAGAAGCTCCCTCTCACGAATCAGTTCAGGTGAGGTTTCGCTTTCACGTTTTACTTCGATGAGCTTTTTATTTTTTATTTTTTGGCACGTGAAAAACGTGGGACATATTAAATGGACACAACACCAGCATAACACACAATCATGGCGAACTTTTCAAAACAAGAAATCATTGCAGATTAGATTTGTTCTCTATGCCTGGATCACGAGGATGTAAAGTAAATAATTGCCTACGAAATCAAGATTTGTTCATTAAACTAAAATTATATTAATTGACTGGATTATGTCGAGTGGTACATACTATATCACGGTATGACATAGTAGGTATAAGAGAAAGTGAGATTGAATATGTAAATATATCACTGACCCCGAAAAATTATATGAGGTACCATTTTTTTTTAAAAATTGATAACGTACAATCTGTTGTTATCTTGTACCAACTGATATATAATTACATAACTATAGTCTATACAGGTAGTCATATAATAGGCGTTCGTACATTTTCTTTGGTACATTAGTTGTGTATAGTTCCACGTAAAATTATAGATTACATACCATATATGCTACTTGCAAATGTTTACGTACAAAAGTAGTTAGGTGATGACTTTAATTTCTCCCAAAATAAAGAATGATATTACTATGGCATGTCAAACCAGTGGCATGTCGATTCAAATGACTGATTTTTGTCAGCATAACAAAATTATATCGTTTTGATGGAATTAACTAATTATTTATATAAATAATTACAATTTATATAAATATGAATATAGATTGTAGAGAGATTGTCTTAACATAAATTATATATGTTTAATACATTGGTGTGTTGATGATTTTCCACTTTTCTGCAATATTTTTTCAAAATCTGTATAAACTGATTGTATATATTCCTATTGAACCGTAGAACTTGCTAAATATTTGAGAGCACAAAAAAAGTAAGATTTCTAGTAGGTTTTCGCTTTTTCGGTAATAAAGTTGGCAATTATTGTACCTTCCATTGAATTCAATATTACCTAACCTCTTGTCTGCAACTTTAGTATCACCATTTGCATGTATACCATCCCTACATTATATTAAGCTACACCTAATCCGTGTCCTACACGGATATGATATAATCAAAAGGGAGAAACGTAAGCGAGAAAGGATTAGGTTTTTGACTCTTTGTTAATTTTTTTTCCTTTTTCGCCCCCGGCCCCAGCTTCCTAAACAAAGCAGCATTCATAGAGCAAGAACACGTGGACCTCAACCCGCAAGGTCAACCGTCAAACCCATGGAACCTAGTCAGCGTCCAGGAAGTGGAAGAAGTCAAATGCCTGCTGAAAATCATCCCCGTCTGGTCCGCCGGAATCGTCAGCCTGACGGCGGTCTCCCAGCAGGGCACCTTCACAATCTCCCAGGCCCAAATCATGGACCGCCGCCTGGGCCCAAAATTCCAGATCCCGCCCGGGTCCATGTCCGCCATCTCCCTCCTCGTCATCGGCGCGTGGCTCCCCTTCTACGACCGCGTCCTCGTCCCGGCCACGCGCAAGGTCACGAAGATCGAGGGCGGGATCACGCTCCTCCAGCGCGTCGGGGTCGGGATGGTGTTCTCCGTCCTCTCCATGGTGGTGGCGGGGCTGGTGGAGCGGGAGCGGAGAGGGTACGCACACGCGCACCCGGACGCGCCGCCGGTGTCGGTGATGTGGCTGGCGCCGCAGCTGGCCCTGATGGGGATGTGCGAGGCGTTCAACTTCCTGGGACAGATTGAGTTCTACAACAAGGAGTTCCCCGAGCACATGAGGAGCATCGCCAACGCGCTCTTCTCGGTGTCGTTCGCGGCGGCGAACTATTTGAGCAGCGTGCTGATCTCGGTGGTGCGGAAGGCGACCGGCCGGCGGACGGACTGGCTGGCGAATGATCTGAACCAAGGGAGGCTGGATCTCTTCTACTTTCTGTTGGCCGGGATGGGGTTCGTGAACTGCTTCTACTTTCTTTACTGTGCTAGTGGGTACCGGTACAAGACCAAGATGAAGATCGGCGAGGCGGAGGCGGCGGCGGGTGATGGTGGTGGTGGGAAGTCGACCGAGTTTCGTGACGTTGAGATGGATCCAGTTAAAGTGGCGAGTTGATCGGGTTTTTAATTTGGTGTTACTTTTCGATCTTGTACGTATATGTGTACGTGTGGGTTTCGGTGTGTTGATCTATAGAGAATATGTGTGTGTTGATCTATAGAGGTATATGTAATTTACTTTACTATAAGTACTTGATCATGTCAATAACACAAAATGTTAACGTTTATGTGTAAGCTGTATAATTAAGTATTGGATGGTTTGTCTGAAACCTGTCTACTTTCAATTGATTTGTTGACACAAAAAACAATCGTTTTTGCTAACCATTTCAATTGATTTCATTAATTGGTAAACTAGAATTACACGGTTCATATACAATTAGTATCAAACCACAAGTCTAAACAAAAATGGCACCGTTGATCATTAGGAAAAAAAGTCAAATTAATATTACTAGGTTCACAGAGGATTCGGACTCATATGAGAACCCATGTATAACCCTTCAGACAGGTTAAGCATAATTGTTGATCAAACTAATATCTGTCGTTGAATTCTTGTCCATGTATCGCATAAATTTTCATGCCTCTTCTCTATGTCAACTCAAGTCTATCTGCCACCACTCTCATGCATGTTGAACTCTCCCTTTAAAGTTGGATTTGTAAGGGAAATCAGTTGGAGGGAAAGGAGTCTGGTCCACTGTCTATATATCTTCCAGGACCAGTTTGCTTCCTGAACTCCATGAAATCGAAGATTAAAATGGTGACCTAACCACTAACACCGTACCTTGAGTGCTATTTTGAGGATCGACCAGAAGTTGCTAGATTCTTCCAAGAATATAGCTTTCATGATGGCCAAGCCGGAAGAGACGGATGCGAAGCCAAAGACGTGTCGCCTAACCATTGTCTCACACCAACAACCCAAATAGAAGTCTATAAATAGAGATATAGGAGGGAGGAGTTCAGTAGCCAGTGATAAGAGGTATTTGAGGGTTGTTACCCTGCCGACAGAGAAACCCATCTGACTTAGAACGACACTAGTAACCAGAGGAAAATCGGCACCCAGAATTCTCTTCATAGACCCCAAAATCTCTGTTTCGGGCGTTGATTTTAGAGGCTTCGTAGGTCTTTGTTTCTACTGATGAATCTCAAGGATCTCTTCCCCACAACGAATAGTCCCCTTAGTTTCATAGGTTTGTGAACCCTAGAGATTCTTGAAAATGTATTCTTGATTTTGGTATAATGTGATTGATGTTATTCTTCCTATGGTTTGTGTTTGATTCTCTATTGTATTCTTTTTGTTGGATTGAATAAGTTCATAAGTAAAACTGCATCCCATTGTGGTGCAGGTCTTAAAATTTTGGTCGCATAGAAAAAGACTAGACACGGTAGTTCTACACTATCGGTCATCATTCGATGAACCAGCGCGACACCTCAATATAGATATCCATAGGGTCTGTGTTTCCTATCATATCAAGGCAAAAAGCCTCGACATAAGGTTGGATCAAATTACATAGAGATTAAGCAACTCATATGTCGACAAGATTGAGATATGAGTCAAGGAACTCTCAGGGGAGCTTGCATGTGCAACGCCTCGCCCTCTTGCTTCCTTCACCAGCGAGTAGTTATAAATTTCTTTTTTCGCATTTCCTTTAATTTAGTTTTCTGTAAAACCAATGAAAACTTCAACTCGGGAAGAACCTCAACCTTCATAATCTTATTTTAATCCATGGTTGTGAGAGATCATATGAATATACAATCTAGGCCTTAGGGCCAGGTAAATTTGACCACTCATCGGAAAGGGAACGAGGTAAGAGTTCTATCCTTTGTTTATTTTGTTCTTTTTAGTTTTCGTTTGTTATTTTTATTTTGTTAGTGTTTATTCCCTATTTTTGTCTAGTCTGTGTGTGTTATTGCATATAGAGTCAGTTACAGGAGTGTCAGAATTAGTCGATCTGGCGGCGTTTTCCTTGATATTTCGGCACCCCGAGCATCGCATCTGACCCCCCTCTATTATGTTATGTTTTCTGTTTGTTTAATTTTTTGTATTTTATTCTTCTTGTTTGTTATCGATTCTATGTGATGAGTCGACCTTCGATCGAAGCTTAAACTAGGGACCAAAAATTGGCTGCATCGATGCCATTTTATTGGCATAATTCGGCTAGACACACTCTGCATAAAGGGACATTGCTTTCTACCATATGTGATTCTCAAGAATAAGGCAGTTATCATCCAATGGTGGCTCTATCCTTTCATGCTTGATGTTCAGATAGACACACTCTGCATAAGGGACATTGCTTTCATTATTTCTTTCTACAAGTTGGAATGGTTGCTCCTCTTCATTGACACGATGTTTCCACCCTTGTGTTAAAGTATATTTCCCTGTAACACTTGCACCCAAATCATTGTTAAGCATTTTCCAGACTAATTTAACCATATACCGATATACGCCTTGCTCAAACTTCAAGTTATTCTCAAATCTAATCCCTCTTGATTTTTAGATTTGCAAGCATTTTCCCAAGCAATAAGGTGGACCTTTCTTTGTCCCTCCTTAGATCCTTACACAACTAACGAATTCTTTTATCAATTAGATCACATACAGATGTTGGCGACATAGTTATTTGCATAGCATAGTTAGGGATGACATTAAGTACGGACATAGCAAGAGTTACTCTACCAGAAAGAGATAAAGTCTTTACTTTCCAAGCTATGAGTTTCTAGTAGATTTTGTCAATTATATACCTTTAATTGTTTTTAGTAATCATGCCACGGAGAACCAGAACACTTAGGTATTTGTCTAAATTCTTAATTGACCATATTTCCAACTTACAACAAAAATATTATTTATATTACCGTCACTCGTGTTTTAAAAGGAAAAAACTCTCGATTTTTCCTCGCTAACAAGCTCCCTCGAGATGGACACAAATTTTTTAAAGAGAATATGCTTCATTCATGAGAAGAAGAAAAATAGGCCATTAAGTGAGGCCTAAAAAGTAGAAACCAATTACATCATAGATGCTTTTTTTTTTTTGCCAATCGATCACTCTTGAAAAGAGGAAACTAAACCGATCCAAGATTACAATAAACCTATCTACTGTTGAACCACGAAACAAAGTCAAACCCCTTTAGATAACTGGGCGACAGAGATAGAGCACGACGGGCCACAAAATGAGCCACCCTGTTCCTATTGCGACCAACGAACACCACCTTAGCATCACCAAGATCAACAAGAAGCAACATAATTTCCTGAAGAAGAGCCCCAATCCTGGCGTCCGATGTGTCTTTGTTACAACACTTGTCAATAATTACTTTAGCATCCTCTCCAATGATCACATTCCGGAGTTGGCGACTCAAGCATTCATTCAAGCAATCACGTAAAGCTAAAGCTTCAAGCACGTAGGGATCCCCAATGCCGACATACTGATGGGCCTTAGCCATGCGTAAATCACCCGAATCATCCATCAAAACAAAGGCAGCAACCCCTGCAGAATCGGACTTAGTTGCCGCATCAAACATAGCATGACAGCGAACAAGGGAACCTGCAGAAGAAGGCGAATATGCCGCTGGCGGAGAAGATCGACGAGGCTGAAGAATTGCCATGTCCGCCTCTTTAACTTGATGATGCCATTGTGCCGCCAAAGTAGATAGAAAAACTTGGTGATGCTCAGAATGGGCCTTACATCGATTCTTCCAAAGTCGCCAAAGAAGACAGACAACCTGCAGAATGAAAAAATCGGAATCCCCTCCGTCTGCAGGTCTAAGAGAATAACGGACGAACCCAACAAAAGAGCGCTTCTCCCAACCAGCCAATTCCTGTCCCAAACCAACCAGCCTCCACAGTTTCTTGGCCTTCAGCCCAAATCATAGAACAAACCCGGCCCAAGTTGAAATGTGCCAAACCTTGGGCCACCAAATTCGCAACATTTTGTACAACACTTGGTTGGATCATCAAAATCGCAATCTTTGGTTTCATGACCGGTCTGATTACCCGTATATATTGGAATCCACCCAAACCCTTTTGGAGAAATGTACCGACGTGGAGCTGGTGGGCCCCGCAAGAAAACGGTTTCCAGAAAAGAAGGAAAATTTGGAGAAATGTGCCGACGTGGAGCTTGGTGGATTATTATTATTATCCAATAAAATAATAAGCTTCCAATTTCGCCCGGCGGCGAAAATGCTATTTTACGTCGGTAACACATTAAATTGTTCGTTGCTTGGCCTCCGCGATATCTCCCTCTCACGCTCTGCGCTTTCTTTGCGCTTTCATTTGCTCGCATTTCCCAAGTCTCTCTCAACAAACTCTCCGCTCTGCTAAAACTCCCTTACAAAACCTCTTTTTTCAGCCTTCAATCCACCATAACCCCAGTCCTTCAGATTCTCTTGGTTTGCCAGTCACATCTTGCTGCCGAGAGGAACTTCCTGCTCTTTCTAGATTCCAAAGCTTGTGCTCCCTCCTCTCTGCAGTGTGTGTGTCTTGATTCTTGCCCATGAAATTTTGAGCGTATTTGATCGAACTATGCTCAACTTCTCTCGCCTGCAAACTGTTCGACGAAATGCCTGAGCCATGCATTCAGCCGCAGCAGTGAAGACGCGTCTCTTCGTTCCGCCGCCGAATTCCCTCCTCCCCGGCCTGAGTTCTCGTACGTTTCCAGTCTCCGTCTTTGCAGTCTGTCGGAGTAGAGTAGCGGTGGTGGTTGGGGGAGGCGGGTGTGGAGGGAGAGAGCAGGAGAAGACTGCTAGTAATGTTCTTTCTCTGCATCGCGCGGCGCCGCTGAAGGAAGAAGGGCCTCTCTTGGGCTTTCTTGACGCTAGGAAGAGGAATGTTAGGGATTCTTGCTGGGAGTTTGACGATGGGTTTGTGAGGAGGTGTAGCAAAGATTGGGGGGGCGAAGGTGATTCTGCTCTGGAAGCTGAGGTTTTCGAGTTTATGAAGAATTCTGAGAACCCGGAGATGTTTCCGTCCAAGAAACAACTGATTGATGCGGGAAGAACGGATCTTGTGATAGGTATTTCGAGGCAGGGCGGCTGGATGGCTTCGGGGTGGGATTTGGAAAGCGAAGCAGAGGTAGTCTTGGAGTGGAAGACGGGTAGTGAATCAAGGGCTTTGCTTTCGGATGTCAAGAAGGCGGAAAGTGATCAAGAGCCGAGGCAGGAAGCCTCTCCCTTGCGTCTTACTTCCCATTCTACTGCTTCTTCACCCCCGAGATCACTGTGAGGCTTCTAATTTCGGTTCTTCGTTTATTTCCATATCTGAATAGCTTTGTCAAGAAAAAGAATGATAAAACCTTTCTTGGATTGGGAAGTTTCTGCGAACCACTGGTTTTTGGTTTATACGTGCCTGGGTTAGTGTCGCTAGAATTCAGAATGGAAGCTGAGAAAGTATTGGCAATCAGCTTACTTGTTGTATGGGACAACCAATTCCCTCAAGTTATTCTGGAAGTTTTTCCGTGATTGTGATGCTCTCTTGACTGTTGGAATAAGAATGGAGGAAAAGGGTGTGTTTTGATACTGGATTTCGTTACAGAACTAACCTAATAGCTATAGTTTTCTTTTAATTTAAGCTATTGTATCATACTCCCAGGGTGGCTGTTCACTATATTTGTTCATGTGCACCCAGAGAAACTGTTGCAGAGGATGATCCTGGAATTGATGCTATGTTGAGTAGACTGGAGATGCAAAGGAAAGCGGATTTTGGATTTAAGATGCCACAGAGAAGTAAAGTTACTCATGTCCCCGGTCATCATCCTGAATACGATGAGCCTTCTAAAGCCTCCAAAGCTTCGGTATATACACTTGACTTGATACTTCGTATCAATTGATGATTATTTGATGTCTCAGTGATAAGGGGCTTGGTCAGCTCATATCTTGTTCATTCTGTTTTCTTTGCTTTAGAACTGATGAGAACCCTATCATTAGATTTGCCTAACTAATAATAATAGTGCGGTTAAGATTCTCAATTAGTGAACTAGAGAAATGGAAGGAAACTATAATTGGACTTTATGAACCAATCTAAAAATTGCTTTTAGCATTAGAAGGGTCTGGTGTGTGAAACAGTACCAGTAGAAAGGGCCTTTTAATTTCTTGTTGGAAATTATTTGCTTATTTCCCCAAAATTATTTACCAACTTTGTATTGCTCAACTGAATGTCATGTTATGTACTTGGATAATCTTGTTAGCAATCACCACTTTTAAGAGTTTCTCCTCTCATAGCCTCCAAATTGCAGATGACAACTGCTTTACATGAATTTCTCCTCTCTTGTAAATGTGCTCAAGTGAAATTCAGTGCTCTTTCTGAATATAACTTCTGCTGTTTCTTATGCTGCTAAAGACTGTAGCTGATATGAAAAACATCAGTGAATCTGCTTCACTAAAGAGAAACAAGAATGACCACTCTCGAGCAGGTTTAGAACCCTTTAGCACTCAGCTTCGGCATACGGAACCAAAGCTTTCAGCTACAGTTAATGCATTAAAATCAGGTTCTGGTGACAATATGTTGCACAAGGTGAGTTCATTATCATTTCTTTATTTACTGTGTAATTTGGGAGTAATTTAGTTTTAAGGTTGCTAAAAAATTTGCTCGAGACATGAAAGGAGGAATAAAATCTTGTCAATGAAACAGAGTGTTAGAATACTCCTTAGAAACATGTTTTATTTATCAATTGCTGTGTAATGATGTAATGAAAAATCAGATTTCGATCTGAGAGAGTGACATGCAATAGAGAATGTATGCATTAACTATGCATTTTTATTGTCGAACCTTGTCATCCTGATAATCTAATCTGACCTGTCATTCTTCGCCAGGCTATGGGAAATGCACCTGATAAACATCTGGAGCTTTATGATGCTTGGGAATTCCAGGAAACTGGCATAATGAAACGGCAGAACAAGTTGCGGTCAATCCGAGCAAAGATAGCAATCGTGGAAGGCAGAATGGCTCTTGCAATACTGTATAGTCCATTCTATTTATCTTTATTGACCCTCTGAGCAAATGCACCTTTGACTTACCAAGGGATTTCTTTTTTGCCCCCATTCCCAGTGATGCACAAAGGCTAGTGGAACAGAAACAGAAAAGAATCGATCATGTTCAAAAAGGCACCGAGCTTCTTAGGAACGCCTACATCGCTTTGCCAACTGAAGCCTCAGAAGTGTTTGTAGCAGGATCATTTGATGGATGGGCTACAAAGGTGGGATCCTCTCTATCTCAAGGTTTCTTCTGTCGATCATTAGTGCTCTGCTTCCAGAACTTCAGCTCATAAACGCTAACTTGTCTCTCGCAGAGAAAGATGTTCAGGTCAGCCACCTGTATTTTCTCCTTGTTTCTCAAATTGTATCCGGGCAAGTATGAGGTAAATCCTTCGTTGCAGTCTCTGTTTGTGTCGTGATGCTACTGTTCCTGCGTGAAACGAGACAGGATGTTTTAAGTTTTGACAGCTCTTATCTAAACCCACATGCTATGCAGATCAAGTTCATCGTAGATGGTAACTGGAAGGTTGATCCCCTGCGCCCTGTTGTTCAACACAGCGGTTATGTAAATAATCTCTTCATCGTCGATTGAGAAGATACCGGAGACTTAACCGAGGACAGAAAGATACCTTTTGCGGCTAACAGAAAATAAGAGACTGATTCATTGATTACCAGCAGCAGCTGCTGTGATTTTTGATTTTTTTTGGGTCAGTTTCCATGTAAAAAGTAGAAACTTTCCTTCGGCTAGCTTTCTCTAATGATTCTTTTTGCCAATGGGACCAACAATAAGGATAGGGGAATAGCCGATATTGCAGCATGAATTGAATTCAGCGTTACTTTCCCCTTGTTGTAGCTGTAAACAGTAAACCCCTCATTGTAATCAAGTACAGAATCTTACGTGGAGATATATGATTTTTCAGATTCTTTTTTCGGAAGAATGTGCAATGCGTTACATTAATTAACTACGGCCGCAGCCCCGCTCCAAAAAGGCATAAACAGCTGTGGAGTGAATGAAACAGGCTTGGAAGAACTGTAAGTGGCGTAATCCCCATGGCCAAGCTGACCAAATGAAACATCCCCAGTCCCCACGAGTGAAAATGCACCCTTCATCTGGATTCCAGATCAATTTTAGGAAACCCATAAAAATGGACCAAATTTGAAAAACTTCAGTCCAAATTCCGGAGGGAAAATGAAGAAGCAATGTGCAGAAACACACACCAACTTTCCAGTGCCTTGCTGTCCATCGGTACCTGCTCCCCAACTCCAGACTTCTTCTACTTTTTGGTGGTTCTTCGCTCCTTGAGCCTTCTTCCTTGATCCCCAGTCGCCTTTGGACGAAGAAAAGTCGGACAGTTTAGTTAGACACAAACCTTTCCAGAACGTATTCATATCAATGCTTTTTCTTCTGTAGACACTACAAGGCACTTGTTTTCCTCGTACTACTAGCAGGTTTCGGACATTAATCAGTTCAAGGATTTGATAAGTCAGTGATGCGCAACTTCGGCAAAGACAATCCGCGTTGCACCTCAATTTTCAAGCTTTTGAAGGAACCAGAAACTGGTCTGGATCTAAGAAAACAAGCTCAAAGATTCCAACAATGCCAAAGTCTGACATGAAAAATCATCCAACATACCAGATATTCCCCATTGGCTAAGATGGTACAACAACAATATAAACCCCTTCGATACAGAAAGGATTACTAGTAGCTTCAGGCAACATTTTTTTTTTCCTCACTAATTCCTGCAAAGTTCCCTCCTTTCTAACATCATGAGTTCCTAACAGACAGACTAACAAAAACCCACAAACTATACACTTCCAAGGAAGAAGCATTCTCTAAAGATTTAAGGCACAGGTAAGCGAGCTTCTATCTACAGGATATCATCGTAAGCAACGATTTCTCGGCCACGGAAAGGCACATCCAATGTCTTGGAAGCAGAAGCAGAAGCACCAGATTCCGATGTGCTGCTGCTGGTATTATTCCTCGGGTTTACAATAGCGGAAGCAAGCTTCTTCCCTCTGCCATGCCTGCGGAGTGGAAGCTCTCCCCTCAGAAGCTTGGAAGCTGATCCTGACGACGGTGAGCTATCGTTGCTCTTGTTAACTCCAACCCCGATTCCTTCCCTCCACTTAGCGAGTGGGTCTGTTGCCCATAACACCTGTAGCTGCATACATCCAAACACAGAGGAAAGCAAAAAAACCCTAAGGTTAAGAATCGATTTGCCAAGTAACTAGGCCCAATTCTCTGAATAATAAACATCCAATCCCAATTTAGGCAACTGGGTTCATCGCGAATGAGAAAAGTCGAAGCGGAGATAGAGAGAGAGGAAGGGTTACTAAATGAAGCATACCCGTCTGGAATCAACCGTGATGCCGAAGGAATCGTCGAGGGCAGCCGCGATGGCAGCTTCGGCGGACTCCCTAGACCGGAAGGTGATGTAGCCGACGCCGTCGATTCGGATTCGGGAGATTGCGCCGTAGATCTCGAATCGTGATTTGAGGTCCAGGACGGAGCAGTCTGGGGATAATCCCATCACCACCACAGAAGCCGGGGGATGCGTCTTGCCTTTGGCGGCGGGGTTGTCATCCGCTGCCGGTGGTGGATGAGGGCGACGGCGCTTAGGTAGAGGAGCGCGGTCGGGCCCGGAAAAGTAGGGTTTATCTCTCTTGCGACTCATCCTCGAGGTCTTCCCTCTGAGACTCAAATTGTGTCGTGTAATTCAATTGGATTCAGCTCGGTGAGCGAGCTGAACTGAACTGAGTCAGCTATGGGCTTGGGGGTTTGTCTTAATGAATCGCTATTTGCCGCCCGCAGTTTTACTATTTGCCGCTCATAGTTAGAAAAAAAAAGACGATTTTGCCCCTAACCTTATCCCACCCTCAACCCATCTGCCGCCACCCCCCTTCAACCCTCCTTCCTCCTGCCGTCCTCCCGCTGCCGACGACCCTCCTCCTGCCGCTGCCGACTCCTCCCTCCTGCCGAGCCTAGAAGCTGCCGCCAAAGAGGACGCCACAGCAGCGCCGCCGCAAATCGAGTCTTCCTCGCTCGCTCTCGTCGCCGCCAACCTCCGAAGCTTGGCGGAGAGCATTTTTTATTTTTTTTTCAGTCGCCGTCCGACTGGCCGGAGCGGACCGATCTAATTGGGTTTATGATTCGGTTTGAATGGTTCGGTTTAAATAAATATTTATTAGATTTATTTAAATATAATTGTTAGTATCTTAATTAGTTTAATATTGATAGTTGAATAATTAGTATATAATTGTTAATTTGACCACAGTTGGTTGAGGGAATTAGGGTTTGACTTAATTAGGGTTTGACCCGAATTAGGGTTTGACTAAATTATATATTATTTGACCACAGTTGGTTGAGGGAATTAGGGTTTGACTAAATTATATATTATTTGACCATAGTTGGTTGAGGGAATTAGGGTTTGACTTAATTAGGGTTTGACCCGAATTAGGGTTTGACTAAATTATATATTATTTTGATCACAGTTGTTTGAGGGAATTAGGGTTTGACTTAATTAGGGTTTGACCCGAATTAGGGTTTGACTAAATTATATATTATTTTGACCACAATTGTTTGAGGGAACTAGGGTTGGACTTAATTAGGGTTTGACCCGAATTAGGGTTTGACTTAATTAGGGTTTGACCACAGTTGAAATAATCTCACCCAAGATGACGGATAACAACAATAAGAATCAACTCGACTCAACTAGACCAATAATGACAATAAAGAAGGAAAGCATCTCATCCACCTCCTATACCTTATACTCCTCTGAAACCCTAAACCCTCATTCCCCTTGAATAGCTACCTTCAACCTCGATCAATCCAATCCTACTAGGAAATTATTTTAGAGGCAAAATCATCTCTTCCTCCACTAACAACAATATTTCGTCTCGTGGATATATACGTGATAGGCTCAAGAAAATCCTAGTTACCACCCCCAGAGCCCTAAAAACACCTCGATGAAAGTTTTGGCACTATTCATCTCTTTTTGTCGGGAATGTCCGATTGATAAACAATCGATTCCAACACATTTGTATCCACATTTTAAGAGATCGATGAAATTTTGAATATTTTTTCATGTCGGTGACTCTAGTAATTGCTAAAATATGTTTTTGCCCGACCTTCCCCGAGCCGCAAAGAGTCCTCTTCGTGCCTCGATTCCTTGAAAGTTTTATAAAACATAATTTAGGTACGATGATCTTATTAAATATGAAATAAATACAATTAAAAAGGTTTAATCAAAATTTATAAATATTTTATAACTATTCTACATAATTAAAATGAATTATTTATTTATTTTAGCTCTATTTACATAATTATAAAATAAGTATGAATTAGTTTGTACAATATTTTTTATAATTTAATTTTTTTTCTTATGAATAATTTTTAGTTTTCTAATTCATAAATATAATTAATAAACATACATATAATTATTAACATGATATAATATTAAAAAAGTAGAAGATTGAGTTAAATAATTATTATCATTTAGCGACGAATTTTGTGACGGTTTTGAAACCGTCGCTAATGCACGGTCCGCTCGCCGGCGTCGGACGGGGTCCTTCCGCCGGCGTCGGACGGGGTCCTCCCGCCGGCGTCGGACGGGGCCCGCCGTCGGCTGTGATGATTTGGTTCTGGCCGCGGTGGTGATTTGGTGGTGGTGGCGCCGCCGGCGATTTGGCGGCGGTGGTGGACTGGCGCCGTCGGCAGCAGGAGTGGCGGAGCCGGCGATGGTCTATTGTCGGCCGCAGTGGTGGTCGCTCGTGTTGTGGTGGAATGAGGTTTGTTTTATAAAAAATGAACAAAGGGTAAAAATATCATTTTAGTTTAATTTACGGGCGGCAAATAATAAAGAAACGGGCGGCAAATAGTAACCCTCTTGTCTTATGGCTGGAGTCTGGACTGGAAAGTCCCAGCCAAGCCAACATATGTTAGGCCGGGCTTTTAAATGTGTTTTTATTCTTATAAAATTGTAATAGGTCAAAATCACTTTCAAAATTTGACTTTTGAAAAGTTGGAAAATATTTTTTATAACATAAAATCAGGAGGTTCAAGTTAGAATTTTTTTTATAAAAATTGTTTTGATAATACAATATTTCTAACTATATTTTCATTTTATTTCAGAAGATATTATATCTCTTTCATTTATATCATTTTAAAAATTGATAAAATCTATTTTGGTTATTTATTTTTTAGAATATATATTCATATTTTTTATTAGATATTATTTTTAGCCATTTTACCTAATCTTTTATATTAAAAAACATTTTTAATAGTTTTCACAAATACTGAATTGCTTGTTTTCTAAAAGTACTTACTCCAAACAAAAGCTGCTACTAAAACATCTACAGCAGACCCAAACTAGGTTTTGTGACTTTTCCAACATTGTCAACCCGGTTTGTCCTTGGCCAGTAAAGAAAGGGGGTTAAGGGTTAATAATTGAATCAATTGAGTTCGGTCTAATTTGGATATGTGAAAATAGTTATCAATGGATATGTCTCTCGATTGTGATCGGAGTAGGAGCAAAATGGTTCGACTAGATGGGTTAAATACTAGTTCACAACCTTGCTCTTTCCATTCTTTTCTCCATGTAGGATAAAATAATGAGGTTATGCAATTGTCCATAACTAGATACTATTCTTTATTTTCACTAGTTTTGTGCCCGCTCAATGGGTGACATGTTTGAATAAATTTTTGTTGTTATTTTTTAATAGCAATAGGTTACTATTTCTCTTTCTATATGTTTATTAAGATAATTTATTACTCAAACTTTTTTTTATAGTTCAGTTGTCATATTATTTTTGAGTGTGACAAGGAGCAACGATCATGTAAAATAATAATAGTCATAGGCTCATAGCTTTATCACTATTTTGAAACCCATATTCACGATTATTTGCTATTTGATTGGTCAGCAGTTTTCAACATCATATGTTGTTCATAACTTTCCATTGATTTCGTGTATCCATATGTTTGATCTCAACTTGTTTCTCCTTTGATGAATGTACAACTCTACTAACTTAGAAGTTGAACTTGCTGGTGGTAGTAGACTACTCAATAAATAGTAAATTTTTTTACTAATTGACACATATAACTACTCTTGCCCATCATTCAAATAATGATCCATCTTGTCACCCATATAATTAAAGTCAAAAGATATCATTGTAAATTTTTTCTGTTAAATCCAAGGGCCGCTTCACTTCCCTGCTGAATCAGTTTGGAGGAGACATATTCCCAGCAAAATCTGCAGCTTTATTTGGCTCATATCCCACAAGAGAATCCCGACGCTTGATAATCTCCAGAAGAAAGGTTGGTTGCTTGCAAATCGATGCGAGCTCTGTCGTAAAGATGAAGAAACAATCAACCACCTGTTTGTTGAATGCACTTTCAGCAAGGAAGTTTGGGATATGATAAGAAGAGTGTGCAGGAACATCAACCCCCCCCCCCCCCCCCCCCCCCCCCCCCCCCCCCCTTCTGGAGATATTCTAACCACCATTTGCAGATGGCACAAAGATGAACCGAGTGATATCGAAGAATGGATTGTATACTTCGCCTTACATTCTATCTGTTGGCAGGTGTGGAAAGAGAGGAACCATCGAATCTTCCGCAACACTCAGCTGGAACCTGCTATTATCACTAAAATTGCTTGTAGAACTATGATTGATTGGGTTGTTGCGCACAACAAGAAGAGTAAAGATCAAGGCTATCTTTGGATTAGAAACAAGCTTCAAGAGCTGTGACTTTCCTCGCCTTCTCGCTGGAACAGTTTTTTCCTCTTCTCGAATGGAGTCGTGTTCGCTTAGTGTGATTGGATCTTGTTTCTTTGTTATGTGACTTGTGTTATCTTTGATAGCTGCTGTTTTCCCAACAATTGTTTTGTTTTGTGTGATGTGCAGAGATGGTCTGATCCATCTAGCACTGTTCTTTCTTTTTTCTCTCATTTCATCATTGTTAGAATATGTTTTGTCTTCCTTTGTCTTTCTGCGTTTTGAGATCAGATCTTGTGATCTCTTTCCTTTGATTGTTTCCTTGTATCCGAACTTTTATTTCTCTTTTAATATCAATTCACCATTATCAACAAAACCATCAGGAATTGATGAGAAGTGACTGATCTTGTCACTAATGGAATTAAACTCTACGATACCATTATAGATCATTATGTACACTTGAACCATACCCTTTTATCATATGGAGTTGTTTTTCAACTCAATTCTATGTTTGATTAATGTACAAATCAACAAACTTAGGCCCCGTTTAGTATTGTTCTCTGTTTTTGTTTTCTGTTGTGCTTTTCAAAATTGGAGAAATCAAGAAAAAAAAACATGTTTAGTTGGGTTTCTATTTTTTGTTGTGAATCAGATTTGCACAACATGACCCAAATTTGAGAAACAACAATTTATTGCATTGGATTTGATTCTTGTACATGTTTTACACGGGATTCCCGTTTGTTTTCATTAAAACAACCCTCAATTCGAATCCCACCTAAAGCAAAAAGTTCTCTTTTTTTTTAAACTCCCAAACCCACCTCCAAACCCTAGTCGGCCAACCCTACCCTCATTTTCTCCCAAACCCGCCGCCCAACAGCTCCCTCCCTCTCTCAACTTCTTCCTCTCGAGACCCAGGCCGCCGATATCGTCCATCTCCCCCTCGTCGTCGATTTTGTCCCATTGC